TTAAATTAAACTTTTAGAAAGGATATGTAAAGAGAACCAAAATTAGCAAGATTCCTGTTTAACTTTTCATCCAAGTAGACAAGTTCAACTTCATTTTGATACTCTGATTTTACTACTGGTTAGTAGAAAAGCTATCCAAATTACTTCTTACAGACATACGGTCACATGAAATCTAAGACAAAAGCATAGTCAAACCATTTTAGATGAACTTTGCCTTTTAAATCAGTTGCCAGACCAGCGTGTAATATTCACTGGCAACTTAACAATTCTTTTAATTGCTCTATACATCCATCAGTGAAGAATCTCTGTTCAACTTTATTAGAGTATAAGGATACCACCAAGGCTGGTTTCTTTTGGCAAACCTATAGTTTTCCTTTGTTTTGGCAGAGACTTTACAGAAGATCAATAAAGAGATATTTAAAAAATTACAGTCCACATAATATGGTAAATCATGCACGCTGTGTGCTTTAAGCAGACACATACATATAATGACATGCATGTCTGTTAAATTATGATAGCCTACATGCTGAAATACATTATTTTTCCCTTTCCTGCTGTTTTGAGAGTGGAGACACCAGCATTACTGGAAGAAGCAGAACATTAGTTCAACCTGGATCTGCAGCATCTGTATAGAACAGGTGCTTCAGTAGGGCTTTTTGGTGTTTTTATCTAACAGCTGATTTAAAAGCTACTGATACACTGCCAGTCTTGAAGAATAACTTGAACTTGGTTAAAGTATTTTGTTCCATTCATTTACATTTGTTAAATTAACTGCTTATTTGCTGCTCACTTATGCACTGTCATGCTGTTCTTCTTCCTTTGGAAAATACTCAGCATATTGCAGGCATATCAACAACATGACTGCTGCTGAATGTGAAGGTAATTTTCTATATCTGGGTTGTTTTAACTTTTTAAAGTAGAAGTTGTACAGAAATTACCCGAAATGTAATCTCAAACATGATAACAGTTTTTGGAGAGGTAGAAACAACATTCAGAATAACACATATTGGCAGAGTCCAAAAACAGGAGAATTTCCAAACAGTACTGTTTTCCCAGATGTGTATTGGCAGGAGCTAACCAATTTACAAGAAACTCTGAAGAATTTAAATAATGAAGTAGCTGCAGCTCAACCTAAAAATAAAATCAGTCCTTGGTAGCATAGACCATGTCTCCACTTCCATGTCAACTTATTCTCTTGCCACACAGTTAATCCTTTAACCACCTACTATCAAGCCATTTTTATAGGTGATTTGCTATAAATCTTTCAATTGATTGTCCCCACTCATTTTTAACCCTCAATCTTTTCCAATCAGCTTTCAAGAAACAAAACTGACCATTTAAATAGCTTCTTTTCAGCTTTTGAGAGCAGTGGCACAAAGATGAGGTATCTTGCAACAGCCTGAGACATGTGACTGTGGGCTTTGCACCTGACTCCTGTCAGAGGCCACCCCCCAAGTCAACCCTGCTGTAGGTGGGCAACCGGTCATTAACCACACTAACCACACGACTCACTTCCTTGTGTGCTGGTGGCTACAGAAACCGCAAATTAACCACACTAGTCTCATAGGATGTTAAGCGTGAGATGGCCTTCAACCTTTTTAACTCTGGTTCTGTCAAATCTTCAGTGTTAGGAGTGAACTAAAACTCCTAACTTCAAATCTTGAAGACGAAATTAACTCCTTTTCTGTTGCATACAATCATTAGTGGTATGTTAATTTTGCACAACTGAAATTAAGCCAACAGAAAACCAACAATGAAACCAACACAGAATTTAAGTATAAGTTTGGGTGTTGTCTCTCCCCAGGATCCCCTACTGTCTTTGTCTGCCAGGGTCAGTGGTCACCTTTCTTTCCCCCACCCCCCACTAACTTCTGACAGAAAAAAGCTAATACTATCTTGTATTATTTTCTAATAAAACATTGTCATATTACTCATGCACAAAGAACAATAGAAAAAAGATGGGAGAAGATAGAGGGGAGAAGATACCTAATAATCTATTAACAAACTATTCCAATTTGCTCTTGAAGGTGTTCAATGTAGGTGCTTGAACCACCTCCAATGGCAGGCTGTTCCAGACCTTGGGGGCTCAGACAGTAAAGAAATTCTTCCTTATGTCCAGCCTGAAACGGTCTTGTAGTAGTTTATGACCGTTCAACCTCGTCATCCCTTGGGGTGCTCTGGTGAACAACCATTCCCCCAGATACTGGAGGTCACCCCAATAAACTTATAGGTAGCCCCCAGATCACCCCTAAGCCTGTGCTTTTCCAAGCTAAAGAGCTCCATGGCTCTCAGCCTGTCATCATAAGGTCTGCTTTCCTGACCTCTGATCATGCGCGTGGCTCTTCTCTGCACCTTCTCAAGCTTCTCCACATCCTTTTTGAATTGTGGAGCCCAAAACTGGATGCAGTAGGCGGGGGGCTGGACTTGATGAGCTTCCGAGGTCCCTTCCAGCCCAATGTCTATAAAATCTATGAAAACTAAAAATTTAAAGAAAAAGAACTAGACAGGTATGATAGAAAGATGTGTTTGAGCTTTGAGCTATCATAATCATTTCACAGACTTCCCATCACTAACCTGGCTGGGGTTATCTGACCCCAGGGGGTTGGACTCGATGATCTACTGAGGTCCCTTCTGACCCTAATATCTCTGAATCTATGAAAACTTCCCATCAGCCCCAGCCCCTGATGATCAGGGGCTGAGGCTGAATTGTACCCAAAAACTTATCTATCAATAGGTCCTGGAACTGTATCATATTTTCTTTTAACACAGAAACATTTCTCAAATTTGTGTGTGTGTTTATCACTCGCATACAATACATACATACAGGATGTATCTGCACCAGGTGCTACTGGGCAGTGATTGCTATACATTTATTTAGTACTTGTATAATCAAGTACTAAATAAATACTCAGAAACTGGAGTTACTATGCAGTAGTGCCAGGGAATGCCTTTAGTGACACTACTGAGCAGTTGCCTAATAATATTGTGCAGTAGCACATCAGCACTATTTGTGCTGCAATATCCTACTGTGCAGTATTATTCAGCTACTATGCAGTTAGCATCTCACACAGACACGCCCACAGGAATTAAGAATTATACATGGTGCTTGTGCGGACATGTTTCTAATCATGAAATTCTCTGTTGTCATTCTTTGGCTTTAGTTGTGGAACTCATTACCAGATAAGGTAGTAAAGGCAGATAGTACAACCAAAAGCATCTAGATAACAAAACAGTCTTCCGGCATCTCTAAAACAATGATGGTAGATGCCAGGGAGGGTAACAAATAGGGGATAGATCACTTTAGACCAACCCAGTTCAGTGCTTCCACTCCTGGCATCCACTCCTGGCACTGTCAGAGACAGAAGCTGAGCTACATGACCCACTGGTCTGACCCACACACAAACGTGTGTGTGTTTATCTTTAACATCATACTATATTAGAATATAGGCTGTTTGCATAATGAAATTTTGCAGATCTAAAAACAAATCTAACACAAGTGTGCATTGTAAAAGCACACACCACTATGCTACCTGCTGGAAAATTAAATATATTGCCTCCTTATGGAAGCTGCATAAATACCAAAGATTCTCTCTGTCAAACAGAGAACAAGAAATGACAAGCAAGTCTTCAGCTAGTTTCCAGATACTAGGTTTGTTACCCACTCATTACAGTATTCATATACTTCTATTTGAGACACTTCCCAATAAAAACTCTGATCAACTTCTGTCATTACCCTGACCAGTGAAATAGCTTAGCAAAGAACTACAAATGAGGAAGGGCACTTGGTGCTTGAACAGTTTTCTAACATCTCTTCCAAATATACAGTTAATCCCAGCAGCTCAATCAAAGATTGGCAACCAGACCAACGATAAGGGTGCCAACTTTGAGGGGATACAAGAGGGGTGCTTGCTGCTGCTGCCACAGGTGACCTAGCCCCTGTCTCATTGCTGCTGCCTCCTAAAGTTATTGTAAGCCCCTGGTAGATCCAATAAAAAAATATCAGCAAAAAAATTACCCATCACACATTTCATGGACTATCATAGCTACAACAACACTCCAACCCTACCTACCACACATATAAACAAACTTTTACATAAATCAGATTTTAAGGACCTGGCAGAATTTTGGCTACTTCTAAACACACACACACACACACACACTCTCTCTCTCTCTTAGAATTAGGTAAATACTTAGTGTTTTCATCAGTTTGGGCCTCTGTAACACTAATGCAATCTTAGTATTTCGGAGAATTTCTGTTGATCTAAAACAGGGGTGTAAAAGATACAGCCTACAGATTGGATCCATCCCATGAAAACTCCTAACCCTGCTGCCAGAGCCGCCCCTTGGTTTTGAGAGTTGACCCAGGCAGGGTGCACAGGGCCTGGGAGGCGCTCTGCACACTGTGCCAAATCCAGCCAGTCCAGCCTATAGATATGTCCCACATAATTTGGGCCAGATTAGTTTGACACCCCGATATAAAAAATGTGGTTTCCAAATCTCTCATCTATTTAATTTGTTTCAATTTAGTAAAAGTTGGATTACTCAGTGCCTGTCATTTGATAAAAGTATGAGTTTTCAGAAGATGAATTATTTTCTGCCCCCCAATCATTCAGACATACTGCACAAACAGCAGTGCACTTCTACTGTATTTACCATTCTTCCAGTCTGTTCTCATTCTGTTGCATTAACAAATGAAACTAACCCCTCATTAATGAACATCTATAAACTGGGTGCAAACTAAAAGAGAATTATAATTACTGATAAACTGAACAGACACTCATTGTGCTTTACTTAATTTTATCAAATGAAGCTCTGAAATCAACAACAAATTTTTTCCTCAACTCTTTATAATCCTCTATTACCAAAACCATATAGTTTCCACAGCTAACACAGAGATTATCAAAGGTGCAAATGGAAAATAAGTGTTCAACAGAGGCGACAGAAGATGCATATTTTTGAAAGCTGTACTCCTGTTTATAGGAGGAAAATGGTACTTTTACCTTACTGAGAAGCGTGACGATATCACCTTCTTTGATTGTCAGTTCATCATCATTCTGTGCTTCATATGGAAATATTACTTTGCAATACTCCTTGACTGAAAGGAAAATGTGCAATGCGATAAATTATAATCTTATAATATGCTTATTCAAGTATAAATATTTTCATAATATAGTTCATAAATGTCAACATATCAAATAATTTACCTTCTTGCTTTTTTTGTTTTCTATATTAAGGACTTCTATTAATTGTATGAAATATTTAGAAGCTATGTACTGGTAATAACTAGATTTGTCATTCGGGGTGGGGGGCAGGGGTTGTAAAAAAGCATCAAGCTCTGTAGAAACCCAGACAGTTCTAGAACTGTGGACAATTTCCATCAAGCGTATGTATTTCTTACTCTCATAAATGTTGACAACAGCACACTTTTTCAAAGATGTAGTAATCAAAAAAGAACAACCTAGGAGGTCAGCTAACCCAACCTTCCCTTAGCAGTGTAAGATAAGTACTTCTAAACTGGTTACTCAAAAGAACTAAAAAGGAAAAAATAAAGCTGATTCAGAATTCCTTTTTGTATATATGTTGCTAATGGGTACTTTATAACTTCACTATAAAGCTTTTTCCTCCATTCTTTCATAGTCTACAAATGAGGAGTCTTTGCAATTCTCAGGCAAAAAATAAAAGCTAAGCACTTCTATTCAGCATTCTTTAAAACAGTTGTCATAAGAGACAGTTAACTGCATCTTGTTGCAGTGCAGCAAAGACAAACATGCCACCTTACAAGGAATTGGGAATGTGTACTTCAGGTTTTTATAAAAATGTGCAAAAGACCAAAACCAAGAACAAGACCAAAAAGAACCACCACACAGCTATTTTTAGATAGTAATTACAAACACGCATCTATATATAGTCTAAATATTAAGCAACTACAAGCATACATCAACACATAGTTTAAATATTTACTAATTTCTAGCATACATCAGTCGCTCAGATTCTCTCATTCACAGGTCTCTTCCTGTTAGACAACAAAATGAACTCAGGGTCTATTAGCCAATAGCCTCTACCCTAGGTAGAAACTATGATCAGATGAGAATGCTGAACATTTTGCTAGAAAGATTCACTGACAAAAGCTAGGATGAGCTCCTCTCATACTACCACTTTTCAGAAATATTGAATGCCCTACAATAACAATTTCCTAATATTAAGTGATAGTAAAAATTCCCTCTCAAAAGATTGATGACGTGAAGCTACATCCTTTGGAAAAGGTTTGGGAAGAGGAAGGATTTGGGAAGAGCAGTCTAATCATTATTTGAAACCAGTCTGTGGGTTACATCTTGGATCCTTCCATCTCCTCTCTGAGAGCCCATGAAAAAAAGTTACACTTGCTGAAAATCTAATTCTCCTGGCTTGCATGACCACATTTAACTGAGAGCTCCACTATGGAACTGGAGATAGGTGTGTTGAGAGTTTCTGTGTTAAGGTTAGAGGGGAGAGGAATAAGGATGATGTCATGGTGGGTGTCTGCTATAGACCACCAGACCAGAAGGCAGTGGTGGATGAGGCTTTCTTCAAACAGCTAGCAGAAGTTTCCCGGTCACAGACCCTGGCTCTCACAGGGGACTTCTATCACCCTGACATCTGCTGGGTGGGCAATACACCAGTTTGCAGGCAATCAAGTAAGTTTTTGGAGGGTACTGGGGACAACTTCCTGATGCAAGTGTTGGAGCGGCCAACTAGGGGCCATGCTCTTCTTGACTTGGTGGTCACAAACAGGGAATTGGTGAGGAATGTAGCAGTGGATGGCAACTTGGGCAGCAGTGACCATGAGATGATTAAGTTCAGGATCCTGAGGAAAGGAAGGATGGAGTAAGGACCTTGGACTTCAGAAAGGCAGACTCCAATTCACTCGGGGAACTTGTGGGCAGGGTCCCCTGGGAAGCCAGTCTGATGGGGAGAGAAGTCTAGGAGAGTGGGCTGTACTTTAAGGAAGTATGGGAGGTAATGCTTAGGGGCAGTCAGCATGGGTTCATTGCAAGCAGATCCTGCCTGACTAACCTTGTTTCCTTTTACGACCAGGTCACAAAGTCCTTGGATGCAGGCGTTGAGGTAGATGTTGTCTACCTGGACTTCAAGAAGGCCCTTGACACTGTTTCTCACCCCATGCTCATAAAAAAAACTAGGCGACTGCAGCATTGATGCCTACAAAGTCAGATGGGTAGTAAATTGACTTGATGGTTGCACCCAGAGAATGGTGGTAGATGGGTCATTTTCAGCCTGGACGGATGTGAGCAGTGGAGTTTCCCAGGGCTCAGTCCTTGGCCCTGTGCTAGTCAACATCTTTATCAGTGACTTGGGTGTGGAAAGCATGCTGTCCAAATTCGCTGATGACACAAAGATGTGGGGAGAAGTAGGCCCACTGGAGGGGAGGACAGAATCCCAGTAGATCTAGACAGGTTACAGAGGTGGGCGGATGAGAATAGAATGAATTCAATGCAGACAAGTGCAAGGTGCTCCATCTAGGGAAAAGGAACCTGTAACATACCTATAGGCTGGGGAACATCCTTCTCAACAACAGAGTGGCTGAAAGGGATCTTGGAGTCATTGTTGACTCCAGGATGGACATGAGCTGCCAATGTGAGGAAGCCGTTAGTAAGGCTAACTGTACATCTACAGATGCATCACAAGCCAGTCCAGGGAGGTGATCCTTCCCCTCTATGCGGTGCTGGTCAGGGCGTAGTTGGAGTACTATATCCAGTTCTGGGCGCCGCAGTTCAAGAGGGATGTGGCTAACCTTGAAAGGGTCCAGAAGAGGGCCACTTGCATGGTCAGGGGGCAGCATGCCAGGGCCTACGAAGATAAACTAAAAGGCTTGAATCTTTCAGCCTCCACAAGAGAAGACCAAGAGGGGATCTGGTGGCCGTCTATAAACTCACCAGGGGGACCAGCAGAAAACAGGTGAGGCTCTGTTCCCCTAGGCACCACCTGGGATAACAAGGAATAAGGGCCACAAATTGATTGAGAGTAGGTTCAGGCTTGATATCAGGAGGCATTACTCTATGATTAGGGCTGCCAGGCTCTGGAATGGGCTCCCAAGGGAGGCGGTGCTCTCCCGTACCTTGGGGGTCTTCAAGAGGAGGTTGGATAGATACCTGGCTGGGGTATTATGATCCCAGCACTTGTTCCTGCCCAGGACAGGCGGTCAGACTTGATGATCTGTTCAGGTCCCTTCCAACCCTAGAAACTGTGAAACTATGAAACCTTACTGAAAGTGCAGGAACAAACCATTCCGATGCACAGGAAGACTTGCAAGTATGGCAGAAGACCAGCTTGGCTGAGCAAGGAACTCTTCAGTAAACTACACCACAAAAATGCAGCTTATAAGAAGTGGAAACTTGCAGAAATAACTAGGGAAGAATATAAGAGCATTGCTCAGACGTGCAGAGATGAAGTCAGGAAAGCCAAAGTGCAACTGGAGTTGCAGCTAGCAAGGGATATGAAGGGTAACAAGAAGGGTTTCTACAAGTATGTCAGCAGCAAGAGGAAGATCAGGGAAACTGTGGGTCACTTACTGAATGGGGGAGGCAACCTTGTGACAAAAGATGAAGAAAAGGCTGAAGTGCTCAATGCCTTTTTTACCTGTCTTTACAGGCAAGGGCTGCTCCCAGACAACTGCACTGGGCAGCACAGTTTGGAGAGGAGGTGAGCAGCCAATAATGATGAAAGAACAGGTTAGGGACTACTTAGAAAAGCTGTACATGTACAAGTCAATGTACAGATGGGATGCACCCAAGGGTGCTGAGAGAGCTGGCTGATGTGATTGCAGAGCCATTGGCTATCAACTTCGAAACCTTGTGGTGATCAGGAGAGGTCCCGGATGATTGTAAAAGGGCACACATAGTGCCCATATTTAAGAAAGGGAAAAAGGACAATCCAGGGAATTACAGACCAGTCAGTCACACATCAGTCCCTGGAAAAATCATGGAGGAGATCTTCAAGGAATCCATTTGCAAGCACTTGGATGAGAAAAGGGTGATTAGAAAAAGTCAGCATGGATTCACCAAGAGCAAGTCATGCCTGACCAACCTGACTGCCTTCTATGATGAGGTGACTTGTTCTATGGACACAAGGAGACTGGTGGATGTGGTGCACCTTGATTATAGCAAGGCTGTTTGATACAGTCTCCTGCAACAGTCTTGTAGGCAAGTTAAGGAAGTATGGACTGAATGGACTGTACGGTGGATAGAAAATTGGCTGCAGCATTGGAGTCAGAGAGTAGTAAATAATCATTTGGTGTCTAGTTGGCAGCCGGTTTTAAGTGGAGTCCCCTGGTGTCGGTCCCAGGGCCGGTTTTGTTCAATCATCAACAACCTGGAAGATGGCATAGAGTGCACCCTCAGCAAGTTTGCAGATGACACCAAGCTGGGGGGAGTAGTAAATATGCTGGAGGGTAGGGCTAGGATTCAGAGTGACCTAGACCAGGTGTTTCCAACCTTTTATAGTAAGTGTACCCCTGGCAGCCAGCTTTTTAGTAAGTGCACTGGGGGGTTTGGGGGGAGGAGTGGTGAGCAACCAGATGTGAAGTGAGGGTGGTGAGAGGCCAGACATGGGGGGGAGGGGTGGCAAGCAGCCAGATGCAAAGCAGGGATGTGGCAAGTGCAGCGTCTGTACAGCCCTGCTCTTGCCCTGCCCCAGCCCTGCTCCCGTGAGGCAGCGGCACAGGGTGGTGGTACTCTGCCCCTGCATACCCCCAGGACCTTTTAAAGTACCACCAGGGGGACGCATACCTCTAGTTGACAAATTGGAGGATTGGACCAAAAGAAATCTCGTGAGGTGCAACATTCTGGGTGAGAATACACGGGGGTTGGGGGAAAAGGGACTTAACGGTGGGGGTCTACTACAGACCACCCAACCAGGGAGAAAAGCTAGATCGGGAATTCTCAGGTCAACTAGCAGAGGCAGTTAAGTCAACGGACGTGGTCATCATGGGTGACCTAAACTATCCGGACATCTGCTGGGAAGAGCAGTCAGCCAGGTCTGACAGCTCATGTAGGTTCCTAGCCATGTTACAGGACCTCCATCTAAGCCAGAGGTGCACAG